ATGTGCCAGACTGAGCTCCCTTTCCTGAACCAGCAGAGGAAGGTGTGTGCACTTCACATGATTTTTGTCTCATGAAGGTGAAAATGTTGTGTTTAGGTTTCAAGTGGCAGCTCCAGTCTTTCTCAGCTTGCAGGGTGTTTCACCATTAAAGTTACACTTCAGTGTGGCATTGAAACCAAGCTAACAATGAGATTGTTTGTCTTACTTTCACCTTGTGGATTTGTGATGATCTTGCTTGTTTGGGTTTTCTGAAGATCTCATTAGAGAAAAGGTTAAAAACAAAGTTTTTGTTTTCACTTTTTAGTGAATGAAGTGTGATAACTCATAGCACGTGAACAGAAAGAAGTTGTGTAATTTTCCTTGAACAGAATAAAGGGTCTCTTAGTGACTTTGAACTGTTGCTTTCTCATTCCCCTTGTGTGTCTGGAGGAAGATAATTCTGTTTACTTGTCTGAACCTGTTGTGCTGTGTTTAAGCTCCAAAATTACTGCACCCACATCATTTGAGTGTCTTCAACTGCACCAGGTATCACTTGATTAAGCCTCTGTGGATTAAAAGTCAGTTCTAAACAAAGTTAAAAAGTGAGTGTGTGTTAACAGAGTGTTGGGTCCAGAATCTCTGAGGAAGTGCTGGATGCCTCCACCTCTGTCCAGTCAGAGCTTTGGTGTTCAGGTATTTTGTGATGTGTCTGATGCAGTCAGTTCAGTGTGCTGAATTCCTCCTGCCACAAGGGAAGTGCTTTGCTGTGGTCATGGCCAAGCCCAGGCAGCTCAGGCCGCAGGGTGTGGGGTCCCTGGGAGCCTGGCTGGGCCCTGTCCTGGTGCCCTCCTGTTCCTGAGGCTTCTCCAGAGGTGGGGAGTGCAGGAGGGAGGGGGGCACCAGGTGTGTGCAGGCTGGCAGGGTTTGTGTCCTTGGGCAGCACAGCCTGTGAGAGTCCTGAGTGTGGAACCACAATTGGTGTGGCACTGTAAGGTCCTAAATATCAATCTGATCTAGGACTTACAGTGTCACAGAAAACCATTGTTGAGTTAAACAACAAACACTGGCATGAAGTGCTCTGTTTTCCCACCTTTATAAAATCATATTTTACTTCTCCAAGTAATATAATGGTAGGCTGATTTTATTTTCTGGTTTTATATTTTTTCTGACAGAAGTGGTTTCTTAGGACATGGCAGGTATGGTGTGTTCACTCCATTTTTTAAATTGGGATAAGAAAATAAAACAACTCCTACTGGCCATTTTTTCCTCTTTCACTCATTTTTACAACTTTAAGCTATTTCATTTATGTATGTTCAGCCACAATATTGGCATATTTTATGTGAAACAACAATGTAGGCTCCACCTTTGTAACTGAGCTCTTTGAATTGGGCTAATTCTATCTCTTTTCCTTCTCATCAGGAAAAACTTTTATGAAGATTAGCAGGTGACAGAATTATATCAAGGTTTAGGAATAGTCTCTCTTCCCACCATCCTAAATAAAATACTGAGAGTTTTGCTGTGGGTTGTTGGATTTCTGCTGTTCACACAGGGATGCAGTCTGAAGCAGAGATGGCAGTCTGCAGACCAGAAGTTTAAAAGTACATCTGGTTTTATTTTTCTTTAATTATTTTTCCTAAGGATTGTTTAATTTTGGCTGCTTAATAGTTGTTCTGCAGTGTTTCAGTTTCAAAAGTGAAAAATGACTGAGACTTAATCTGAAGCAACTGTAAACATGAATTGAAAAAACTTGTGCCTTGAACTATGTGAAAAGTTTAAACATAGAAAAATCTTAGAGAAGTGTTGGATTTCAGGAAGACACATGGTTAAAAAAAGCATCTTTGTCAACATTGGGATGGATAAAAGCTGGAAAGGAGTCCTGAGCACTGAGATGCACATGAGGGACACTTGTTTAGAATGTTAGTTGGTAGGTGTTTGTTTAAAGAAAATGCAACTTTTAAATTACTGTTCCAGATGTTGACAAGAGCTGGGACATTCCCCACTTCCACTTTTAAAGTGTCTTAAGAAAGCAAACAGAAACTGAGTGCAAGAACGAGGGTTTCAGTGCAGTTTCATGGTTTGCTGCTGACGTGGTCAGTGCTGCTCTCTGGTTATGAATTTCATCACCTCACCTGCCTTCAGAAGAAATGTGATCGTGTGAATGTGTGGCAGGTTGGATCCAAGTGCAGAGTGTTTGTTTGTTACCATTTGATTTGTCCCGGGTGATGTGCTTTGTTTGGGGAAGGGCAGTCAGCACTGGCACGGGTGAGGCCGTGGTGGTTCCCTCAGTGTCACTGCCCCTCCTCAGCTGGGCACGGCAGGGAGGGGACATTGAAATGTTCAGGTTGAGATAAGGACAGGGACAGCACCCAGCAGTGCCATCATGGGCAAAACAGGCTCTGCTTGGGGAATTCAGCTGAATTTATTGCCAATCAAATCAGAGAACAGTAATTAGAAATAAATCCCCAATGTTAAAATACCTTCTCCCCATCCCTTCCTTTCTCCCAGGTTCAACTTTACTTCGTTCTCTGCCTCCTCCTGGTGAGCAGTGAGGAGTGGGGTCCCTCCCATGGGAGATGGTTCTCCATGGACTCTCCCACGTGGCTCCTTCCCATGGGCTGCAGCCCTTCCCGAGCTGCTCCAGCGTGGTCCTTTCCCCTCGCAGGGAAGGGGCTGCTCCAGCAGAGGGTTCCTGTGGGCTCACAGCCTCCTGGGCATTGCCCTCAGCACCTCTGGGGTCCTCCTGCTGCCTTGGGAGGCTCCTGGAGCAGAGTTAAAGGATTAAAGCAGGGATTTATTAAAAGGCCTTCACAGGATTCACCTTGGGCAGCACAAGAGCCCAGCCAGGGCTACACCCAAGCTGGATGAGGCTCACGAGTTCTCACACTTAGAAATTTTGGTCCATTTCCATATTGGGGTTAATTGTCCAATTCCAGCTCTGGGTTAAGCAGTCCCATCCTCCCAGTTTGCTCTCCTCAATTCTCTGTTGTTTGCACTTTCTGGGCCTGAAGCTGCAGTGGTGTCCTCGGTTCTGGGGCTGGAAAGGGATTGTTTTGTCTGACTGAGCTGTGAGGAGAACATGCTAACAGTTTCTATGAAATTCAGAGTTATATCCTAATGCAGTACAGAATCTGGGAAATATGAAAGCTAAAATGTGAGGCTGCAGCTGGATCTCTGCTCTCGTGTGTCCCCCATGGGCTGCAGCTGGGTCTCTGCCCTGACCCTGATGTTCCCTCTGCCCTGGCCTCAGTGTCTGCAGGGCTCTTGCTGGCACACACTGGCTCCTCTCTCCCTTTTCTGGGAAGGTTTTTCCCTTCCCAAATGCACAATCCCAGAGGTGCTGTGGGCCAGCAGTGTGTCCCTCTTGGCTCAGCTGCACATGGGGGAAGCTTTTGCCATCTCTGCACTGACGTTTGTCACCTTTGGAGCCCCCCACCACCAAACCTGGTACAGGTGAGGACATCCAGGGAACAGCACTCAACAGCCAGCTTGGAATGGAGCATGTTATGTCTTGATTATGACACAACCTGTCTGGCTCTTTATTTATTCTAATTATTTATGGACTCATTTATAGGTAATTTGCCTACTCTGGATGTTTTGTTACCCTGAAAGGGTCAGGCATTTATTGTTTGCTTTAACAGCACTTGCTGTGAATGTAGGTGAGGAATGGTGCAGTCCAAGGTCACAAATCAGGTTCATGGCCAAACCAGCAATAGCAGGGCACCTTCCCTTTCAGAGCTGTTTTAATTAGGCTGAGCAGTGTTGAAATAGCTCCACAGTGGTGGGGAAGCCATTTGCTTAGAAAACTCAAGTGTAAAAACACTAATAAATAAAATACTGTGGGATTGTCACTGTTTGCCTCAGTGGTGCTTCAGAGATGGTTTTACATTTTTAGGCTCCTGTGTTTATTAAAACCACACATTTATAAGTTGTGATCAATTTAATAGTGACTGGGTCTCTACTGCAAAGAATAAGCATTTTCCAGTAGAAGCTTTAAACAAAAATAATAGATTATTATTTCTCAAATAGAAATGAATGACATAAAATCACTTTTGTACAAAACCAGATGAAGTGTTGCCCTAAATTAACATTTCATAAGTGTAACACCTTTTCTTAGATTTGACCTGGTATTCCTTAATTCCTATTCCTTATTCCTGGTACAAAATGATGAATAATCAAGAGAAAAAGCAAGTTGAGAAGACTTTACATTTAGTTTGTATATAATCTTTTTTGATTGGTTGTCAGCAAGAACACTTTGCTCTGAAAATGATAATTTGATCTTAGTTAGGATAAGAGTTAATGAATGGTAGAAGATAATGTTCCAAGTATTAGTCACAAAGACACATGCACTATTCTGAATTCATTCTCTATTGACAATAGTAACACTGAACTCATCTCTAGCTCCCATTTGCTTTCTAAAATGCTGTTACCAAAACAAGCTATTTATAAACTAAATGAGCAGAATTCCACATGTGTGGCTTTTTTTTGTTGTTGTTTTTACTACCAAAAATGTACTTTCTTGTGGCCTTTCTAAATGTGCTTTATTTCTTCAGACCATCTGGAATGGATATAAAATCTCTTTATATGCTTTTACTATCAAATAATTCTGAACAACTCTATTTTTTTTTTCACTTAATGTGAGTAAATTGTCATTAAATCTCCTTTCTAAAGGAGAGCATGCAAGCTGTTGAGACTGCAGTGTACCATTATCATCCTGTGTAATGTTTTCCTTCCATCCATGAGAAAAAGAGAAGCCCAAGATCAGGGAGCTGGCAGTTGTGTAGCAGCATGAGTCCAGTAATTAGAGGGAAAGACTTTTGGACAGATTGAGAGAAAAATTTTAAGGTACTCTAGAGAGTTCAAGAGCTTTGTTCTGCTCTTCCGGGCTTGCTCCACTGATTGATGGTGCATGTGCAGTCTCCAAAGAAAAGTGCAGAAAATCTTTTCATTGCAAAGTGCTATTTTGTTTTATTTTGAGTACTTCAGGTGATTTAAAGAAATAGCAGATGATTTTTTTTTAAATGGATGGTTTATGCTGTTTTGTGTGGTTATTTTCAGTGGTTGGAGCAGTCACTGGCACTGATGTGAGGATGCTCACCCACAGCTCAGGAGAGCACTCACTGCACGTCCTTCTGATAAAATGAGATTTTTTTTTTTTAGCAATAACAAATTGAAAGGCAGAAGTTAATAAATGGATGTGTTCAGAGAAACAGTAGTGATGGTAAAGGTGACTGCTCAGGTTGAGTATTCACAAGTTCTTATGACCAATAAAACAGGCACAGAAAATGTAATTTCTTCTTGCTATTAGAATATTATTTTGAAATTAATGGAGAAACAAACAGTGGGAAGGGTGGGAAGCCTTTATCCTTCATCTGGGCTCACTTCTGCTGAGGATAGGGCAGCCAGGAGTGGGAAAAGCATCTGGAGCAGCAGATAAGGAGAGGATGATGAGTCAGGAGAGATCAGCTGCAGATCCCAGAGGGCTGATAAGGAAAGGAGGGCAGGGAGCAAACAGCTCCTGGCACCTTCTGAGCAGGCCTGAGCACCCTTGGCCTCACTCAGGGGGCTGGGAAAGCCTTTCCTGGGAAACTGTTGGAGTTTGGGAGAAACAAACGGTGTGAAATGGCAGCGGTGACTCGGGGGTGTGAAATGGAACCGCTTCTTAAGGCAGGCCTGGCAGGGAGATGTTGCTTTTTGCTGTAGCCACTGAATGTACTCAGAACTCTTCCTGGGGTCTGAAAGTGTCTGCTGAAAGCTGCCAGGGGATTATTCTAGATGAATTAATCAGCAGCACTCTAACAAACAGATCAAGGAATGTTTCATGGTTGTTTGTTGACAAAGTGAACACCACACAACGTGTATGTAGATTTAATAAAAGGTTTGCATCAGCAAACTTTCATATCCAGTGGACCTGTCATGTTCACTGTCATATTCAGTGGACCTGTTTGTGGCTAAGTTTGCAAGTTTATGTCCAACTTCTCTTAGTTCTAATTGGGTTTATATCCCAAAGGTGACGTTTTTTAAAATAAAATAAAGATTTTATTATTCTTACCTGTCCGGGGTTTCTGACAAATAGAATATTAATTTTTCGCTGTCTTCATGTCACAGCAGCATTACCACTCAAACTTTCTTGAATTTTGTCAACAATTGTATTGAATGTAATTGTATATTAACAGTGAAAATTACTTAAAATAGACTTTTTGTGCGTTTTTGTCAATAAGACTGCACCTACTATTTCACTCAATATTTAGAAAAATTCCACGTTTTTTATTTGCTGTGTTATACAGAAACAAATGTTTACATCTCTTGTGTATTCATTGAGATTAAACATAAGCTTTCAAGCCTGATCAATTGGAGTGAGATGTGTAGGTAACTCTGAGTATTACTTGTATTTTAACAGTGAAAGCAAGTTGAATACTTTGGTACAGAAACTCCATGACTTCTTGGCTCACTCATCAGAAGAATCTGAGGACGCAAACTCTCCTCCAGCATTATCTAAAAACAAAAGTATAGGTAAAAAGACATTTTATGTTCATTTTCAGTGTATATGTGATCCTAAAGTCAAATAACTCGGTGTTGTTATTTCACTATACCACACTTCACTGGGGTAATTACACCAAGTCTTAATGTGATTTAAGTGGTGATAGCTTGATAAATGCACAATAGGCCTTTGATATAATATTTATTTCAGTTCTGAATCTTTCTAAAGGTGAAAAAAATCTCATCTTCTGGTACTTTCCCTTCTCTGAAACATGAGATATCAGACACAGGTATTTGCTGTGCTAGGAGTTCCTTGTTCAGTGTTTCTGAATTTATAAATGCAGTGTCTTGGTTTTTCTGCTGTAGTAATGTTTCTGCAGTCCTTGGAGGTGTGGGAGAAGTTCTGGAGATTGTGCTGTCACAGTAATTTGAAAAAGACTTTTTACATATAATCTAGAGACATTTAAACAGAAAATAATACTTTTCAAAAATTAGAGTACTACACTTGCTCAAAATTGCAAATTTTTATTTTTAAGTTAGAAATAGGTAACAAAGTTTAAACACTTCCATGACAGTGATTAAAACTGAAATTATTTCATGTCAGTGCTGAATAAAATCCGTTTCCAAATTTAACTGGTTAAATTTGTTTATTAGTTTCACTTGGACTGGATACAGGTGCAGAACCTTTCGTGCTTAATGAGCTAAAAGTTGTGCTGATGTGGGGGAGTGCAGGAGAGGAGTGTGCTGGCTCTATTAGAGTTTATTTTCAAACTCCTCTTGGCTTCAGTAATATCTTCCATGGACTTTCTGGCATGCAGTTTTTATCTTTGAATGTTCTGTTTAGAGAGAGTCTGCTGCCTGTGGCACTCACCTCCTCATGTCAGCATCAAACTGAACTGTTAGCACAGGAAAAAAGCAACTGCTCATGTGGTGCTTCAGCAGAACAGGAAAATAAACTGATGTAGATGCATCTCAAAGGGAAATTTTTCTGAGGAGCACACTGGGAAAAAGAATTCTCCCTTTGTCCTCTGTAGTTGAAAATTAGCATTTGGTTCCTTGCTGTAAAACACAGATTGTCTTTGAAATGGAGACACTTGCAAATTCATAGCAGACATAATTTAGTGTTGGTTTTGAGATCTAAAAGAACATATTAAAGTTGAAGAGTCAGAATTAAACACTTAAATATTAGGAAATGCTGGAATTTACTATGCAAATTTCCTTCTCTTCCCAATGTTCTGTGCATAACAAAAATATCTTTAGCAACTGTGCTTGCTTTTTTATTTTTTAATTAATTCAGAGGGTGCTCATTACAAACAGAAGTTATGGATGTGACTGGGGCCAAATCAGATTTTTTAGTAATAGATCTTGTTTTGTTCCAGCATTTGGAGGAATGAGCTGTTGGGTAGAATGTTGTGAGGAGGGATGTGAGCGTGTTCACAGGGGCCTGAGGATGAGGGAAGAGATGAGGATCTGACTCCATGTTTCACAAGGCTGATTTATTATTTTTTTTATATATTTTACATTAAAACTATACTAAAAGAATAGAAGAAAGGATTTCATCAGAAGGCTGGCTAAGAATAAAAAAAGAAAGAATGATAACAAAGGTTTGTGGCTGGGACAGAAGTTTGACACAGTGGGACTGTGATTGGCCATTAATTAGAAACAACCACATGAGACCAATCCCAGATGCACCTGTTGCATTCCACAGCAGCAGATAACCATTGTTTGCATTTTGTTCCTGAGGCCTCTCAGCTCCTCAGAAGGAAAAATCCTAAGGAAAGGATTTTTCAGAAAATATCATGGCTACAGAGGGAGATGATGCTGAAGGTGGTCGTGTGTGACCCAGCAAGGCTGGCTGTTAGAAATCAGCTGGCTATTGGCTGATATTACTTCATCCCCTAAACTTTTGTCCCTGCCACACACAGAGGTCACTTAAAACAGGAAGCAATATTTGCTTTATAGCCTTCATCATGTTCTTTATCCCCTCTGCACTGGATGTCTCCCTCCTTTCCAGCAGCAGAGAGCTCAGCAGAGCCAGCCTGCCTGCTCTCCTTCAAGAGTGGAGCAGCAACCCCAGGGGAATCTCTGCTCCCTGAGAGCCCTGCAGGGGCTGGGCAGAGCAGCCAGGCCTGCCCTGGGCTGGGAGGGGTGGCTGCAGTGGGCACAGGGAGAAGCTGGCACTGCAGCACATTCAGCACATGAGCATCAGGCTGCCAGTCTGAGTGCAGGGGCTGCTCTCACTGGGGCTGCCAGAGCAGGGGAAGCTCTGCCAAGCTCTCCAAGCTGGTATTTTCCATGGCTTTATCACTTGGGCAGAGTTGGTCAAGAGTAGAAAGTGGGCATTATCCAATCTCCTCCCACATCCCAGGTTCCTCCCTCAAACAGGGAATGCCTGTAGTATTGCAGAGAAGAAGCTTCAGGTACTCAAAAAGGCCAAAAACATTGTCTGCCTCCATTTTGTATTTCCTCCTTCACTTGTGGAAATGGCTGGATGATTTTCCCTGCAATTTACTCAGTTCTGCAGAGGTTAAATACCCAGCATTGAATTCTCTGAGTGATTCAGTTTTTTCAAAGTATAGAAATAAATTGGTGTTCCCAAAACTGAAGTTGAAGGATAGAGAAGTTGCAGTGCTTGTAGTCATCTGTTAAAAATCACAAATAATCCTGATAAGTATCCTGTAATTATATTTCCTACTCAGTAGCATCTGTAAAAATCCTGCTGTTCCTAAACTTTTGGAGGAATTTCATACAAGAATCATTCAATCACTGAGCTCCAAACTTTCCCTTCCATTCCAAGACTGGTGGATTGGAGCAGGTGCCAATAGGTTGCAGATCTTTAGGCTTTATATTCCAAGCTTGAGAAATAGGATTTCTCATCAGAACTTGGATCAGATGGGATTTTTGTCTGTGGTTCCATGATCCCAGATTTAATACTTTGTTTCTTATGTCATGATGTGTGAGAGAAAATACTTGTAGTAAATTCTTAGAGATCAGCCAAAATGCACTGATGAGATTATTTCTGTGTGCAGTTGCACTCGCAGTGCTTCAGAATTTCCTCACCAGCAGCAAGGCTCCCAGGCACTGAACTGAAAGGGATTTCTGAATTATTTCTGTAAAATGTATGCCACACCATGGAATGTCTGTTCTGTTGTGCACCAGTTTGTCTTGGAAGTCACATTTATGTCTGTCCAGGTGAAACATAAACAGTGCTGTGATGTGCAGTGTGAAAACTTCTGGTGTTCCTTGCATTTCAATGGACTCCTTGAATTTCTGTCCACAGGTAAAAGTAGAGAACCTAAAGGAAGTCCAGCTTCAATGGAGAACAACAGGGACGAGGTAGGAATAAAAATGTTTTTGAATTCCAGTTGCATGGCTGGAGCACAGTGGCTGAGTTCAGTCTGTTATTTTTGCAATAAATACTTCAATAATACTGTCAGAAGCACCATTAATGTCATCCCACTTCACCCTGTTACTCAGATAACATTTGTTCTTCAGGCAAATCTGCTTCCTTATTGAAAAAAATAAAAATGGGCACACTGGATCTATGCTAAACTGAGCAGAAATTCTTCATGTGGTGTTTTATTTCTATCTGTTCTCTACTGGAGACATTCTGGTGGATAAGATCTTAACATTGTAGAGAAACCACAAGTGCCAGTGTCAGTTTGCCTTTGCTGCTGTAAATTCAGGTATTTTCAACTGCCCAGTCCTGGTTGTGATCTGAGTGCAGAAACAATTGAAGAAATCAGTTTTGCTGTGTGGGCAGCCAGTGCTTTGTGGCACATGAGGCCACACCAGGCTGCCCCCTGAGTGCCAGAGCCCTCTGCAAGGGGTGCTTGGACAGGGAATGGTTTCTTCACACAGCAACAAGAGCATTCCCAAAATGTGTGAGCTGCTGGCTTCTGAAACTGCAGAGATTCAATTGAACTGAACTGGCCTGACTGTTGAAATTGTCACTTGTACTTACTGCTTTTCCTTATCTTAAAATTATTTAAAAATGAAAATGATTTTAAAATAAATTAAAATTATTTAAAAATTATTTTTACAAGGGCACTGGTGATTTCTGACTCGTTTCTAGTTAATGCAAGAAACTGGTTTTTGACAGTTCCCATGGATATAAATATGTTGACTTTTACATTTTTTTCTTGTTTCTAGGGAAGTAGTTCTTCTGAAAGAACCAAATCCTTAGGATCATCCCGTTCCAAAAGGTTGGTTTGGAAAATAAAAACAAATAAATCAATTTTTGGCTGTGGGAAGCTATAGAAAAGTGGGTGCACTGTTTAAAATCCATGAAGTTATGGAGTGCTGGTAAAACAAATGCCTCACAGTGCACTTAAAATTCAAACCATTTCTCAGCATGAAAGGTCAAGATGCTAAAGCTTGATTATTATTTACAAAGACAAGATTATTCCATATCTTCAGGACAAAGGAGTCTATACAAGAGTTCCTTCAGTCTTGCTGTTTGTATATGTAGGATTCTTCCCAAAATGTAATTTGGGTCATACAGAAAAATGTTTTATGTGCTTCACTTTTATATTTGGCTTTAGTTTCTCCTCATCTTTTGAATCCAGTGTCCTGCTGAATTCTTTTTTATTTATATACTCCTTTAGTCCTGTGTTTTGCTTCCTGTCTTATCACTAAAGGGATTTTCACTCATCCATTTTCCACACTGTACCTTGTATTGACAAAACCAGTGTCCTGCAGTAGTTCATGCATTGCCTTCAGACTACTGAAAAATTTCCCCCATATTTTGTATTATTTTCTCCCCATCCTAACATAGTAAATTCATCAGTTTAAATTGTTTTGTGGAATTCTGTCAGTTGATCCTTTTGTTCAGTAGTCAGCTTTTTCATTTCTTTTTGCATTTCCTTCATTATCTTGCATGTGTCTCTTCTGCCAAGATGCTTTTTGTAATTTGCTGATATCTCTGTGTTTTCTTTGTGCTGCCTGTTAAACTTGGAATGATGGATAAAATTAATGAGCTGACATTCACCTGTGTTTCATTTAGGCTTCTTTCCTGGAATTGTGACTTTCTTAAAAATACATCACACTTTGATTTTACCACAAAAGTCTTTAATTGGTATACTAATAAATATATTAATAATAGTATACTAATATTAGTATATTTATTAGTATACTAATAATTTTATTGGTATACTAATAACTTCTGTTTCACATGTGAGGAGAGAAATCCTATTCCAAACCAGAAAACTTTCCTGCAGTTGTATAGCAATAACTTGGAGCATCATAATGTCTTTCATTAATTTAAAAATAACTTAGTTTTTCACAGTTCATATGGTGTTTTGCCTGCAAAACTTACCTGAATTGAAGTTTGTACTGTTTGTCAGAGCATGGATTTTTTTTTTCTGTCTATTCAGGAAACCTACAGTTGTAACAAAATATGTTGGGTCAGATGATGAACAAATAGCAGATGAAACTGTAAATGAAGATATTTCAAATGAGAACTCAGAGAATGATGTAGATATGCAAAGCTTGCCTAAAGGTAGGTCATGTCTTTTTTTTTTTTTCTTGTTTCTGGCTTCTGAATTCAGCAAATTAGCCAAGATTATGATGCAGCATAAATAATTCACTAGAATGCACATGTTCCAGTAAAATGCCCCTTGAAGGTCCTGTTGGTTTTCTGCCCACAAAATGAGGAACCTGAGCACTTTCACTTTGGAACCCAGCAAATTTTCATCTGTGGGTGCACAAGGATGTGCTGGTGGCTTAATTTCAAGTGCCTGCTGACATCTGTATAAAACCATCACAAAACAGGGGAGATTCTTTATTCTGTTGTTTTGCAGGAGTCTCAAGCTCTGTCACTTGGAGATCTTATTTTATTGTTTTGTCTTTGGAGTTATTAGCAATTAGATCAACAAAAGCAAAACTAACTGGGGGGAAAATGCCATTATTGGATCTATTTTTAAGCACATTTTTTAGAAGCAGTTAATGCTGTAGGCCTGCATCCCTCTGCTCTTAGCTGCAGTGTGAGTTGGATTAATCTCCATTTCTTACCATGGAAGTGACAGGAAAAATTGCTGCTGTTCACTGTGTGAGGAGCAGTACTGAGAGCAGTCACTCTAAAATGATTTTTTCAAAATATTAGATTATTTTCAGTGTCCTCACAACAAAACTGGGCTCTTAAATAGGAAAGAGGTGTTTTTTCCTTCACATAATTTTGATTAGTAATTTCTGGAAATGAAAAGATCAGATTTTGAATATTGTTAAAGACAAAGCAGGTTTTATTCTATTGCTTTTTTTGTGTATTTCACACTGAAATAAATGAAGATGAGGGGAACTGAATAGAAGGGGGCAAAGAGAGAAGCACATGGGGTTTTGAGGGATTGAAATGTCCTTTATTGGACAGTTGCTGTCCTGCAGCCCAGCAGTGTGACAGTGCTGTCATGCACACAGCAGAGCACCAAGAGCAGAATTTGCTCCTCAGCCCACTCAGTCCTTGCCTTCTGTCCTACAGCTACAACACAGATCTAGTTTGAAATGTGTGCTGTTGGTTTTGGGTTTTTGTTTTGTTTTTTTTTTTTTTTTTCCTTTCTGTGAACATCTGTGCATTCAAAACTATGTTGAGTTTTAGTCAACAGATTGCACTTTTTTTTTTTTTCTTTCCTTCTCCTTTTTTTTTTTTTTTTGTGTTGGCTTTATTAATCAGAACTTTTGCACTTCGCTTGGATGTGTAATGGTTTCCAATTTCTAAATAAAATTATTCTAGGTACAGTGGTTGTACAGCCTGAGCCAGTGCTGAATGAAGACAAAGATGATTTTAAAGGGCCTGAATTTAGAAGCAGAAATACCGTTAAAATGAAACCTGAAGCTCCCAAAAAGCGTGGAGGTAAATACAATTTAAAACATCTGTCGAAACGGGTTTAAATTGTTGCATATGACCACATTTGGTACGTCTAAAAATTGTCCATATTTCTGATAAATTATCCTAAAAATACCTCCACTCTTCTGGCTTTTTGTTCATTAAGGATTTTAGCTGGTAGAAATTAGCCTCCATTGCTGCCCCTGCAATGCAGCAGTGAAAGCTAAGATTAGTTCCCATTAAACTCCTGATTTTCAGTAGGTACAGGATGCTTCATTAGGTGCAGTTGCTTGGTTGCCATCAGGTGTTACAGGTATTCCTTTTTTAGAGGAATTGAACACCATTGATACAGGAATATTCACTGAGTGACCAGGAAAGCAGCCATGTTTGAGCAGGGACATGTATGGGCAGATTATCCATCAGTGAGCTAACAAAAATCCTGAACCCTCAAACAATACAAAAACTTTTCTTTCTTTTGCTTTGAAATTGTGAGAAATTCCCTTCCAGTGGGCCCTTCTAAGGATTGCCTTTGGAAAGCTGCTGTGTCAGCTGGTTTTCCACAGCTGCTGCTAAAAGTGAGAAGTTAAGGAGATTACAATACTAACAGAAATTAATTTCTCTCTTTTTTTTCCCCAAAGCCAAGGGGAGGAGGGAGGATTATGTATAACATGGCCAATAAGAAGGTGGATATTATTGTTAAACCTTCTGCAATGTTTTAGCTCACACACCTCCAGCAGCAGCCAGGGTATTCACACAATGCCCAAAATTCATACAGCTCTTGCACACACTCTTCATCCTCCCCACTGTATCATTGAGATCCTTGCTCTCCTTTAAAGTCATTTATGGAGTGCTGTTTCTGTGGGGGAAGGGGAGGGAAATGTGACTTTATAAATGTGCTTGTGCATCCACCTGGCCTCGTGTGGTGTCAGTGACTTCTGGAGTGTTGATGTTTTCTCTAAACTACAACTTCAAAAGTTGGTTCTGTTTTATTCATGCAAGATGTCCTGTTCATATAAGAATGCTTTTTCCATTTGTGCTTCAAACAATTCCACAGATGGTCCAGCAGAACTCTTCAGGGGTACAGTGGTAAAAAGAAAAGACACTTGTGCTTGAGCTTTATGGCCTGTGTCTGTATCCCCAGGACAGTTTGTGTCACCTTCCCTTCCAGCTGTTTTAATCTCCATCCCTAGGGAATTTGCAGGCCCTCCTTTGTGTGTCTGGACTGGTTACTCATGTACTATTTTAAATATTTGCATTTCTAGTAGGAATTATATATCCTGTATGTTTTAGAAACAGGGTAGAAGCAGAACTCTGGCCTTTCTAGCATGCAAATGCTCTTACCTAGGACTGTAAGAGGCATTGTGTCATTATTTTCAAGTGTTGTGTCTGTAGTGTGGTTGTGGTTGTATTTTTGCTAATAAATTCTGTTAGGAATATTCTAGTAGTTTAAGAATATTCCAGGTAGTTTATCAGTATTAATGACTTAGTGGTAGTTTCATTTCTTTGGGTCATCATCATTTGAAGTAGTAACATGATTTACATGATTTGGGTCATCATCATTTGAAGTAGTAACATGATTTACAAAGGTTTGCCTCATAAATTCTCTGTTTTCCTGGTCCAGCTTGCAGGTTTGAGGGAGGAGGCTGTGGTGCATCCCCTTGGTTGTGGAAAAGAGGGAAGAGGGTCAGGGCTTGGCAGGGAATGTCGTGTTCTCCCTGGGTTGGCTGGGCCCCTCAGTGATTGCTGCTGCTGTGTGTCAGCCTTGGTTCTGTGCTGCAGAATGTGGGATTCCTTCCCATGGATGGGTTCATCCATGGGCACAGCAGTGTTTCAAAGTGGGCTTTGAGCTGGTTTGGAGCTCCTGAGAGGGGCTTGCAGGTCCCCAGGGTCTGCAGGATGTGCAGTCAGGGTACAAGCACATCCTGTACCCAGAATTTCACTGAGTTAGGAGCAGGATCAGCTCTTTCACTGCCCCTGAGCCATCTGAGGTTGTGCTTCAGCAGCACATTGCTGGGAGCTTGTCCTGTGGCTTGAGGATGTTCCTGCAGTTCCTTAACATGCTGGGATTGCAGCTTGGTTCTGATTCTGAGATAGTGATTATTTCATTAAAAAAAGAAAAAATACAGAGTCTGGACTCAGATTGTGATCATTAAATTCAATGTTTGAGTTAGTTTCCTTATTAACTTCATCACTGAGCGTGACAGCAAAGGACAAGTCACAGTTCAGTGATCTTTTATCAAACCTGTATCTGCTTGATCCAAATTGGCCTTTGGAAGTGCAGAACTTTCAGCAATGATTTTCCTTTTTCTGCTGTTGAAAACAAAAATAAAATCTTTGAGTATTAATTAGGAGCCTGGCATGGAGTGAGCCTGCCACGCCCAAGTTCACCCCTTCTGAAGCCAAATGAGGGGTTGGCATTAAAAAAAAGCTTTTTTTAGCAAATGTAGATGCAGCAGCAGAGTGGTGCACACACCATGGGAGCAATCAGCAACATGGGGAGAACATGGGGATTTCTGCACAAGTGTAGTTTCAGAAAAACCCAAAAACCACTGTCAGGAAGGGAACAAAATGTGAGAAAAGGTATTTCAGTCACTGTTACTGGGATTCCTTGCATTTTGTATGAGAGTTTTCTGTGTTTTTCTTTGAGAAGCTAAAACTGTTTGTGAAAGAAATGTCATAATATGAGCATGAATTGCAGTGGTATTTGTTGAACTAAGATTAAATGGGGAAGGTTGTCCAGAATATCAGGGCTGCTCTGGAGGAGCTTTAGTGATTACTCCAATTTAGGTGTGTTTTCATGAGGTGACCACTCAACCCAACTTAACCCTCTCAGAGGGAAAGAATTGTGCCTTGAGACCAAGTGCAGCACAGAAATCAGGAAAATTCAGTCTTAAAATGGCAAATGGTTACAGAAAGATTTCTCTGGTGCTGGGTGGTGCAGAAACAAAGGCCTGTAAAAAAACTGACAGGCCAGAATATTGCAAGAAAATGCAATACATATATACAGATTACTTAAATGGGAATAGAAACAATTAATGTGTTGTTTGTAATCCTCTCCATAGAAGAAGGACTCCATGGAATTGTGAGCTGCACAGCTTGTGGGCAGCAGGTCAACCATTTTCAAAAGGATTCAATCTATAGACACCCTACACTCAAAGTGCTTATTTGTAAGGTATGTGGTAAACAGTTCTGTTTATTTTTGTTTCAAAATGTCATATTAGTTGGTTTGGGTGGGATTTTTGTGGGAGTAACTCCTGGTAATTAGTTGACAAAGTTTTCAGTCATTAGGTGTTACAATTAAGGAAATTGAAAGGAGGAAAAAAAGCAAATATACTTATGAATTCATATTCCTTTTTTCTTGCATCCCAGTTAAACTGATGGTGGTTTCTTTGTTATTTACTTCTATAGCTTTAAGTGTATAATCTTAGTGAATTTTTAATGTAAAACGATCTGTCTGAAGTTTCTGCCTACTCATAATGTATTTTAAGAACAGATTCAAGTCTGCATCTCCTGCTAAAGCATTCCATGTAAACCAGCACTGAAATAAGGAGCAGAAAAGCAGCTTCAAACCATCTCTGTTTCTGCCAGCTTCAGGACTGGTTTAAGTTCTGGCAGCTTTGCAGTGATGGTTTAGTCCATAATCTGAGTCTTGAGCTCTGTGGCTTCCTGGTGGCTCCACACAGGCCTGAGCTGGCAGCAGAGGGAGGAGGTGGGACAGGGCAGGAAGGAAATGTCCCTGCCTCCTGCTGTGGGGACCTCTGCTAACTTCCAGAGAGCTCTCTTGCATATTTCTCTAGTGGTGGTGATGTTATAATTATAAGATATTGCTGAAGATAGATGCACAGTTCTGTGTTATAATGTACATGGAGCATTTCCCTGCTCTTCCTCCTCCTCTTCCTCCCCAGTTCCTCATTAGTGTTACAGACCCAGCCATGCCCATCTAGGCTGGTTCTTCTCTGCATCCTGGCTTGTTTCTTTTACAAAATGTGCTTTACAAAAGTCAGCTCACAAGGTGACCTTTTCCTGTGGGATCTCAGCACCTCAGGACTGAGGTGCT